TCAACTCTCGTCCCATATCGTCGACCCTCCTTGTCAGATAGTCAACCCTACCTGCCAGATCGTCGACCCTCCCTGTCAACTCTCGTCCCAGATCATCGACCCTCTCCGTCAAATATCGTCGTAGCGCGCCGACCTCCTCCGCTATAAATTCAGTCAAACGGGCATACAAATCATCACTATGCCCCGGAGACACACGGGGGAGGTGTCTGGACGGAGGTGATGCCAATGGCGGCGGCGATGGCCCCGGCGGAGGTGATGCCACTAGCGGTGGTGATGCCCTCGACGGAGGTGATGCCAATGACGGGGACGATACTCTCGGCGGAGGTGATGCCAATGGTGGCGACGATGCCCTCGACGGAGGTGATCGTCGATCAGCTGGACCGCCCTCCTATATAAATAAAATGAAAAATTATTCAATAAATTTATACGTCGATGATATTCAATAAATTTTATTTCATTCACATACCCAATCTCGGTCCAAGCTCGGATCAGACATCTCCTCGTTTGGGGTGTGCGGAACGCCTAAATCTCGCACAAGACCCCGAGCCTCGTCTTCCATCAATGGCGTCAACTCAGGTATGATTTCAAACTGACATATTGACATTTCAACTACTTAACGATCATGTAAACAAAATTTTAAACTATGTATAATATAAATCACAAATGCATAATACTTACCTGAGGATCGTCGAGGAGGGCCGATTACTGCTTCCCAGTGGGACATCCCTCCACTCGCGATGATCTCCAATGATGCATCCGAGGGCAGCGTGTCTCCCCTGCTGCGCAAAGCGGGCCCCCAGTACAGGAACTGTCTCATACACCCAAATCTATAACACATACACTTATTAAGCATCAAAGTAATACACTAAAACTTTAACTTTGATTATATTAAACATTTACCTGCACCGCTAACGGCAATCCATATGTATTGTATTTACGCATCGACCCCCTGGGCCTCGAGTGCGATCTGGTGAACACATCTTCGGCCCTACGGATAGTTGTTGAACGCATCGATGTCGTCAACAACTTGCAAATGAAAAATGTCGATGGCAGTCTTCTTGTGATGACACTTCATTACACTCTCGAGGATGTAGATCAGACAAAGCTTCAATCTATCTAGCATATGGTCGCACCCCCTGATCGCGACCATCAAGTCGGGTAGAAGCACCGACCCATGTCCCTGGAAGTACGTCTCGTACAGCCTATTGCTTCTCTCCATGGCTGCATCGTAGCCCTTAATCCTCAGTCCAGTGATCAATGTAAACTCAAACATCGAGAAACTGACGACCTTGTCCTCGAGGTCGAACTGGAGGGAATCGCCGTCGACTGGCCTCATAAGCCGACACAGAAGTGCATCAATGATCTGTCCTGAGTACTGCACCTCTCGCAACTGGTACAGTGGCCACAAGAAGGACTGTCGTAGCATATCTCCGTGCTGATCATCGAGCAGCTCCAACACAGCAGTAAAACTCTCAAAGCTACTGTTCCAAGTAGCTTTCCCCGACATCCGTCTCAACTCTGCATCTAAATGATACTCCATCCTGCAAAAATTCAAATGTTATAGCATTGAATAAGAGATAACAAAAGAAAGCATAATCTCACAAAATCAAGAGAACCGAACTCTAACTACCATACAATCACAAATATTACATTTCAAAAATATATTTACAAAAAACAACAAATCAAATTAAATGTATTGTCAAAAAAATTAAAGAATATAAATATTATTTAAATAAATTTGAAAAAATAAATTAAAGATTATTTCATAAAAAAAAAAAAGGAACAACACAAAATTGTTAATTTTAGAATATTTCAATTATTAAATTATATAAAAGACAAATATAAAAATTAAATAAATAATTACTGTAAAGTCCATTTATATTATTTAAATAGATTTAAAAAAATAAATTAAAGATTATTTCACAAAAATAAAATAAAAGGAACAACACGAAATTGTTAATTTAAGAATATTTCAATTATTAAATTATATAAAAGACAAATATAAAAATTAAATAAATAATTACTTTACAATTTTTCAAAAAATGTAAAGTCCATTTATATTATTTAAATAAATTTGAAAAAATAAATTAATGATTATTTCATAAAAAAAATAAAAGGAACAACAAAAAATTGTTAATTTTAGAATATTTCAATTATTAAATTATATAAAAGACAAATATAAAAATTAAATAAATAATTACTTTACATTTTTTCAAAAAATGTAAAGTTCATTTATATTATTTAAATAAATTTGAAAAAATAAATTAAATATTATTTCATAAAAAAAAAAAAGAATCAACATTGCTAATTTTAGAATATTTCAATTATTAAATTATATAAAAGACAAATATAAAAATTAAATAAATAATTACTTTACCTTTTTTTAAAATGTAAAGACTATTCATATTATTTAAATAAATTTGAAAAAATAAATTAAAGATAATTTCATAAAAAAAAAAGAATCAATATTGTTAATTTTACAATATTTCAATTATTATATTATATTGACAATGATAAAAAATTAAATAAATAAATAACATAATTACTATTTAATCAAATAAAAATTTTAAAATTAAATATATACAGTCTGTGCCATTAACAATCGGCCCAGACTAACCAAGACTGTTAACAGTCGAGTAAACCGACTGTTAACCGACCGTGGCCGGGAATGGCCAGAAATCGCCATTTCCGGCCACTGAGCTCCAAAAAAACCTAATAATCCACATTTTTCACACTCCCACATGCCCACAGCCTAACTACTTATGCCCATGGATTTAATTAAACCGAAATTAGTAAGGAAAATGCTATAAACTTGCACATGAACCGCATTAACTGGAGAAAAGTGATGAAAACTAACCGATAATTTTATTTTCGGTGTAGATGATGGTCGTTGTCGGTGGTGTCGGTGTCGGTCGGTCAAGTTTCTGGAGTCGGTGTCGGTCGGTCGGTCAGAGATTTTCAAACAGTGTGAAGGGTAAAATGGCCTTTTACTGTGAAATTTTTTTTAACTTACTTTGTTTTTTTTTTAATTCATTTAATGGGTCAAAGGCCAATATCAAAATTTGCTACAGTGAAATAGTCATTTTCGTGTATTTCCTCCATTTTTCAGCCTGCCAATCAACATCAGCGACTCTCTCTGTGTGTTGATAAGTTGATGGCCGACATTACTCGAAGCTTGGATTCAAAGAACAGGGACAATACCCAAAATCTCACCGTATTAGGCTTGACTTCCGTGTGAAGTGGTTAGTGCCTCCCTTTTGCAACCAGGTACCTGCATTAGTAAGGTTTGCACCCAATCAATATTTTGGATGGATTCTCTGAAACCCTTTCCTTTTCTGAATTCAGGCATATATTACCTCATGCTTAGAAGAAAATTAACCGTTGAGGAAAATAAAAGAAAATTCTACATTTACGATTGTGGTGGAATAATAAATTGATTTATATGATAAATAAATTAAAAGCCCATTTATGTAATTTTACTTAGGGTTATTTAAGTAAATAAAAAAATGCTTAAAATTATGGTGTAACCAACAATATTTATAGTGGCAATATAATCATCCTTAGGCCCTATTTGATTAACCAACATTTTTCATGAAACTAGGAATTGGTTTTACAACTTCCTCTTTTGCACTTGTTTGATAGCAATTTTTTTTTGCATAGAATTCAATTTCTTGCTTTCCTTGCCATCTCAGCTGAATTCCTCATTTTTGATGAATTGGAATTCTTACCAATTCCCAGTTATTGTAGTGAATTTATTATTATTATTATTATTATTATTATTATTAATTTTTTTTGGACAATGGAAACAAATTTTAAAAATTATTTTAATTTTTTTTCCTTTAATTGACGATTTCCATGTAAACCAAAGTTAAATGAACACCAAAAGATAAATGATTTTCTTGATTTGTTTTTTGGCAATGAAAACAAATTTCATCTCCAATATCAGTAAAATCTATCCATTTAATTGACAATTTTCAAATAAAGTCAAATGAACACAAAAAAATTTTTATTTCAACATTTTCTACATGAAAAATTATACCAATCAAACACAATAATTTACAATTCTCAGGAAAATAATTTCTAAGCAATTCAATTCAAATTCGTTTTCTTTCCACCCAAATTTCATTTTTGCAATCAAATAGACCTTTATAGTATTTTCAAATTGAGGATGTAAAATGATTAGAAACATCCTTTTGATGGTCGAAGAACGAGCCAATTTGACAGTGCTTTAGACTAATAAGTTTTATATTTATAAGGGGTCTCATGTTGGCCATTTTGTGACTGTAATTTGCATTTTCTTGTACAAGTTTATCTTTGATAAGGAGCGACATTAGTCGGGAATGTGAATTTTAGGTGATCAGAATATATCTTGTATGAAATATGTTACCAATTAATTTGATAATTTATGATTCTAAAATAAGTTATGGCCTGTAAATTTTGCAATCTGTGATAGAGAAACAATATATTATCAATTAATTTGGTAATTTGTGATTGTAAATTAAATTGTAACATATAAAATTTGTGATTTTTGAATAATATGTGAACAATTAATTTGATAATTTGCGATTAAAAAAATTATGACCTATAAAATTTGTGATTTGTGAATGATATCTACTAGTATGTAACTGTGATCATAAATTGTATAATATCGTGACTTTAATATACTTAATTAATAAAATATTTTTTAATTAATAAAATTTAATTAAGACCTCATTTTTGAGAAAATAAGCCTAATTTCCTAATTTTGAAATTGTGTTTTGCAACTATTTAATGTTTCCTTGGAATTATTGATTATGGGCTAGCCCATTTATTAGAATTCTACGGGCCGTTATTGATCCATTTCTCCTCCATCTTCAACACCGATAAAAAAAACCCATTGGAAATTTTAGCTTCTCATATATTAATCGAAGTTGACCCCAGCCTCCACACGCTGCGAATACTGAATTTTGGTCTCCTCTCTTTCAAGGTTCCGGTTTTCTTCCCATTTTCCTTTTTTAATCTATTCTTTTCATTGACTTTATTTTATTTTTCTTGATCGATCTTTGCGTTATATCTGTAATTATACGTTCAGTGTACGGTTCTGATTATTATTTTCGATTGTGCTGGACTTGATCGAATTTATATGGCAGTTCCATCTGTTAGGGTTCTGTTACTATTTGGTTAGTAAGCCTTATGAGAAATGAAGAGCAATTGCTGTGTTTTTATTTATCTTTGTTCCCTAATTGAGAATTTATGGTTAAGCAAGTGAAACATTTTGTTATTGGGAATTTATTACTCATATTGCACTTATAGGGCTTGATTCTCTATTGACATGATCAAGACTTTTCATTGGCTTTATTTTAAATTTTACGATAAAGGGGATTTGGTACTTCATTTGTCGTGAGGGTTTGAGAAACCAATGAATTTGCCTATTGAATGTGTACTCGTATTTGCCAAGATTTTGTTATGCTTTAATTTGACAGAAATTTTTTTATGAACGCGATATTAAAGCTTAGATCCTGGATTTTTCAATTGGGGAGAGTAAAATTTAAATATTTCTGCAAATGTAGTAATTTTACCAAAACTGAAGGGGAAAATATTCATAACTTTGAAATTCCTCCCTTGATTGATATGGTCATTGTGATTATGTTTTCCTTTGCATTGAAACATGATTAAAGGTTTTCTTTGCGCGTTGCTTCACCTCAACTTGCTGAAATCCGATATCTATATGGAAGACAGGAATGAAAAAGAAAAATTGACTATACTCTCCTGTTAAATTCACAAAATGTACAATTGAACTTTATTCATGTAAATCTGGTGGTTGTCATTGTTTATTATCGTGCTGGGCTTGCTACTTCTTTCAAACTAAATAGTGATGATTTAAATCTTTTTGTTTTCTGTGTACTCATTATTGATTGCTCAAATGCTTTATCATCCAACGTCTAGTAAGTTGTCTAGGACGTCAAGTCCAGGACAATGGCTTTTTCTTGAACACACTTTCCCCTGTAGAACTGGACTGATATTTTCTTGAAATTTCTGACATTGAGTGACACCCCAGTTTGCTCAGTCTTGTAGGAGTAAAGGGAGGTAGTAGCAAACAAATTTTGGAGAAGCAGTTGCCCTCAAATTCTGTATTTACTGTGAGATCAGACATGCCTGGACAAAAGATTGAAACTGGTCACCAAGATGTTGTTCATGACGTGGTGATGGATTATTATGGAAAACGGCTTGCTACAGCTTCTTCAGATAACACCATCAAGATAATTGGAGTAAGCAACTCAGGATCTCAGCACCTTGCAACTTTGACCGGTCACCAAGGACCAGTTTGGCAAGTAGCATGGGCTCATCCTAAGTTTGGATCCCTCCTTGCTTCTTGTTCTTATGATGGGAAAGTCATAATTTGGAAAGAAAGCAACCAGAATGAGTGGATCCAGGCTCATGTTTTTGATGATCATAAAGCATCTGTCAATTCCATTGCCTGGGCTCCTCATGAGCTGGGTCTTTGTCTGGCTTGCGGATCCTCAGATGGGAACATCTCAGTCTTCACTGAAAGATCTGATGGAGGATGGGACAAATCACGAATTGATCAGGCTCATCCAGTTGGTGTAACCTCGGTTTCGTGGGCCCCATCGATGGCTCCTGGTGCTCTTGTCGGTTCTGGTATACTTGATCCTGTTCAGAAACTTGCATCTGGTGGCTGTGATAATACAGTGAAAGTCTGGAAGTTCGATAATGGAAGTTGGAGGATGGACTGCTTCCCAGCTCTTCAAATGCATACTGATTGGGTGAGGGATGTTGCTTGGGCACCAAACCTGGGACTTCCTAAGTCTACAATTGCTAGTGCTTCTCAAGACGGAAGAGTTATAATATGGACCGCGGCTAAGGAAGGTGACCAATGGGCTGGTAAGGTTTTGCAGGATTTTGGGGCTCCTGTTTGGAGGGTCTCCTGGTCACTTACTGGAAACATACTGGCAGTGGCTGATGGAAAAAACAGTGTAACGTTGTGGAAAGAATCTGTAGACGGAGAGTGGCAGCAGGTTACTACTGTTGAGCCATAAACCTGATTGATCTTTCATTATTTTCTTTCTTAATACCAGCCGGTCTCTGGTTTCCATAAACTCTTCCACCCGCACCCCCACCCCCCCCCCCCCCCATAAACTCTTCCACCCGCACCCCCACCCCCACCCCCACTCCCACTCCCTGACTCGTTACAGTTGAGCAAATTGAACTTGAGTTCCTTAGTGGCTCCACTTTTAAGGTCCGTTTGCAAGACGTGATTGTTTTCCAATATTGCTGCAGGTTACTTGGGCTAATTTCATTTCTTGAAATGCTAATCTTGATATTTGGTTATGTTCTTCGTTGTGGTGCTGAAAAATGTATAATTATTCGATTTAGATGACACCATAATGGTGTCATTGAGTTAGGTCTTTAAAATCAGCTGTTGATGTGTTACCATCAAATGATGTCCTTTACATGGTTAGTTCATATGGCGTCTTCAATATGGTTCGAGATTTATGCATCTTCATCAATAAAATGCGATTTGACCCTTTTCGTCCTTTTCCACCTTCTTATTTGCCTCCCTATTATTCTACTGTACGCTTGTTGAAGGTTACAATAGGCCCATTTGGGCCGGGTCAGAAGATCCTGGAGAGCAAGGCTTAGAACGACCCGCCTGTCAAGATGGGCTGGGAAAAACAGTGCTGGCCCAACAGACCATTAGGAGCAAGATTTTCTCCATTTGTTTTTAAAAATTCAAGTCACTTCATTTTTTTTTGAATAGTAATTGCTTATACATCAATCACGAGCAATCTTAGTAAGTAAAGTACGAGGCCCCCAGGACATATCTCCCAGTGGCAAAGGGGAGGGCGGATAGGGCTCAACGCGACAGTGTGCAGAGTTCGATTCCCCGCAAGGTGGAATTGACTTTGTTGCAAGCGGGAGTTACCATATGGGTTAACAGCCTTGGTCCATCCATGTGCTCTCCACCCTGGCTTCTGGGAGGCACATACTGCGATTTACCTCCTCCACGATGGCCCAGGGCAGGATCGGTGGGGGCCTTTAAGGTTGGGGTTCAACCTTTAGTAAGTAAAGTACGAGAGTTACTGTTGCTCGGCTGTCTCTATCAAAAATTATTGAATCGAATCCTGATTTCCTAAGTTCAGTTGATTTTTGAAGCATTAGCTCAATCACGAGCTGAATGCTTATTAGTATTACTGCTCCTCTCATCATTTGCTTTTTATAATATCATATCGTAATATTTTAGTTATTTTATTAGTCAAAGAAGAAAAAATTGTCTACTCTCTTACCGTTGACCTAGGTAATTTCACAATTATGCATAAACTAGCCAGTACCGTTTAATAAATATGATTACAATAAAAAATTACTTAAATAAGTCTAACTTTCTTGAAGCCAAACACAAAGCCTGCACGTGATATTAGTACACGTGCAATCACGTTCTAATGTTGACCCAAAATTGAGATCAAAGGATGAATCTTTTCCGTCAGGACTTCAAAAAATGGGTTTCCAATTTCCAGCTATCGCCTTGTAACACTGCTGAATTTGACCAACCCACTAATTGATGACAAACTAGTAAAGAGAGAACAAATAGTTTCCTTTCCGACCCGACCCGAGCCATGAGTGAGATCCCGTTCTATTAAAAATAGAAATCGCACGGGTATATTTTTAGGAGAACAAACAACAATTGACTAGTGATCAAACTAACACAATTTAACTTTACTACTAAACGGTGGCTTTTGTTACTTTTTCCCCATTTTTTTCATTTTCAATAAATTGCTCACACTACAGCAATTCTTATATATACCCTTAAGTTTCGAGGAATTTGTAATTTATAACGAAGCTTCTAAAAAGGGGTTAGGTGCATTAATGCTGCATGAAAGAGTAAGAGAAGATTTATTCGTCCATGATCGTTCACACCTTAAAACAATTCTCGAGGAGCGAACATGGAAGATGGTTTCTCAATTTGACTTATGCTAGCATATATATATACGTATAAAATGCCTGTAGAGCTCATCTGATAAGGTCAAGTGCTCTATCGCTGTAATATTAAAGAAGAAAATATCCTAGAATGGGTTAGTTGTAACTAAAGAAATTCACCCTTCAATTTTAGGACCATATATTTTCTTATATTTACAATTCAACCCCTTCTTTCCCTCATCAAAAGCCCCTCGCTCTGTCTCCACACCGTCACTTTCAAATTTAGACGAATACTTTGTTAGAAAAAGAAAAGGACGAAGAGCAAAACTCACTCTTATACTTTTCTCTCTTTCTCTTCAAACAATTAAAACCAATTATCGAAAATTTAACTTTACTATGAACAATTTCGCTGGCGGTTATGCTGAATTTTCGTCGGTGGATAATGTCAATGTGAATAATAATATCGGCAATGTCCATTTTACGGTGGATGAGTTGTTGGATTTTTCCCGGGAGGATGAGACGATGACCGACACATTTTTCAACAGTTTGGCGGGGAATTCCAATGATTCGTCGATTGTCAAAGGGGTTGATAGTTGCAATTCATCGATTTCCGGTGGTGGCGATGGCCAATTTAATGGTAACATTAGCTGCCGTAGATATTGCGATTTACTTCCTCCACGATGGCCCAGGGCAGGGTCGGTAGGGGCCTTTAAGGTTGGGGTTCAACCTTTAGTAAGTAAAGTACGAGAGTTACTGTTGCTCGGCTGTCTCTATCAAAAATTATTGAATCGAATCCTGATTTCCTAAGTTCAGTTGATTTTTGAAGCATTAGCTCAATCACGAGCTGAATGCTTATTAGTATTACTGCTCCTCTCATCATTTGCTTTTTATAATATCATATCGTAATATTTTAGTTATTTTATTAGTCAAAGAAGAAAAAATTGTCTACTCTCTTACCGTTGACCTAGGTAATTTCACAATTATGCATAAACTAGCCAGTACCGTTTAATAAATATGATTACAATAAAAAATTACTTAAATAAGTCTAACTTTCTTGAAGCCAAACACAAAGCCTGCACGTGATATTAGTACACGTGCAATCACGTTCTAATGTTGACCCAAAATTGAGATCAAAGGATGAATCTTTTCCCTCAGGACTTCAAAAAATGGGTTTCCAATTTCCAGCTATTGCCTTGTAACACTGCTGAATTTGACCAACCCACTAATTGATGACAAACTAGTAAAGAGAGAACAAATAGTTTCCTTTCCGACCCGACCCGAGCCATGAGTGAGATCCCGTTCTATTAAAAATAGAAATCGCACGGGTATATTTTTAGGAGAACAAACAACAATTGACTAGTGATCAAACTAACACAATTTAACTTTACTACTAAACGGTGGCTTTTGTTACTTTTTCCCCATTTTTTTCATTTTCAATAAATTGCTCACACTACAGCAATTCTTATATATACCCTTAAGTTTCGAGGAATTTGTAATTTATAACGAAGCTTCTAAAAAGGGGTTAGGTGCATTAATGCTGCATGAAAGAGTAAGAGAAGATTTATTCGTCCATGATCGTTCACACCTTAAAACAATTCTCGAGGAGCGAACATGGAAGATGGTTTCTCAATTTGACTTATGCTAGCATATATATATACGTATAAAATGCCTGTAGAGCTCATCTGATAAGGTCAAGTGCTCTATCGCTGTAATATTAAAGAAGAAAATATCCTAGAATGGGTTAGTTGTAACTAAAGAAATTCACCCTTCAATTTTAGGACCATATATTTTCTTATATTTACAATTCAACCCCTTCTTTTCCTCATCAAAAGCCCCTCGCTCTGTCTCCACACCGTCACTTTCAAATTTAGACGAATACTTTGTTAGAAAAAGAAAAGGACGAAGAGCAAAACTCACTCTTATACTTTTCTCTCTTTCTCTTCAAACAATTAAAACCAATTATCGAAAATTTAACTTTACTATGAACAATTTCGCTGGCGGTTATGCTGAATTTTCGTCGGTGGATAATGTCAATGTGAATAATAATATCGGCAATGTCCATTTTACGGTGGATGAGTTGTTGGATTTTTCCCGGGAGGATGAGACGATGACCGACACATTTTTCAACAGTTTGGCGGGGAATTCCAATGATTCGTCGATTGTCAAAGGGGTTGATAGTTGCAATTCATCGATTTCCGGTGGTGGCGATGGCCAATTTAATGGTAACATTAGCTGCCGTAGCTTCACTGACTCTCAATTCTCCGCCGCCGAACTCTGCATTCCGGTAAAACGTTTTAAATTTTGCATGCAATTCCTCGAAATGTGCGTGCTTGATTTCTCTTTTCCATTTTTACTTCGTCGCCGACACAAATATGCAAGTACAGAATTTGCTTGGGATTTTTCATATCTAATTATGTTTGTAATTTATGCAAAATTTGGCAAATGTAAACTTACGTGATAAATTAATTTTGTGTTCAGTATGATGATTTGGCGGAGCTGGAATGGCTATCAAATTTCGTAGAGGAATCATTCTCAAGTGATGACCTTCACAAACTCGACTTCATCGCTACCACCACCACTACTAAAACTGCCGCCGTTGCTGCCGTCACCGACAACTCCTCATCCTCTGTCACCACAACCGTTTCTTCCACCATTCATTCGTCGCTGCCTCCCATTTTCCCCTCCGATGTCGGCGTAGTTGCACCATTACTAATATTCCATCGTCATAATAATAAATAATATTACTCTAATTTTGTACTTGAAAGATATTCAAAATTTGCACGATTCAATATAGACAAATTTTTCTTCAAGAAAAAGTAATTTCATAAAATTATGGCATTATTTAATGAAAATGAATTTTGGAATAGTGAATTTTTGAAGAATATATGATTAAAAAGTAAATTTTTTTTTCCAGTTTACATGCAAAATATTATATTGTGAGAATGTACAATTGAAAATGAGTCTGAGGAAATTTTTTTTTGAAATAAAGGTAGACAAATAGGAGCTAAACGAGATTGAACTAAATAGGATTAAAGTACCCCTAAGTAGGGATATTAATCGTGCTCGCAGACTTAGGCCGCCCGTGGCTTAGCCCGAAAAAAGCTTGACCCGAGCCCATTTTGAGGTTCCGGGCCGAGGACAAGCCAACCCATGTGGCTAGTTGGCTCGAGCCTTAAAGGAAAAAAAAAAAAGATCAAAGACAATTGGCGGATGCCTTTCTTAAGGCAGTCGAGTGCCTTATATTAGAAAAAAAGAAAGAAAGGAGAAAAAAGCAAGCGAGCTTACTGGGCTCAACTTGGTAAGCCTCGAGCCTAAATTTTTTGGCCGAGTTGAGGCTCAATTCGGCTCGAGCTCACAAAAAAGGTCAAATCATTTTGTCGAGCTCGAGCTTCGAGTTTGAGCTTGCAAGCCGTATTGACTCGTTGACACCACTACCCATAGGTGAGGGAAAATTTTCGCAGCTAAAGCTCAATATTCCATTGAGAAGAGCATCAACGATTGAATGTTTTGATTGCAAATGTATTGTTTGAAAATTAAAAATCATTGCATAAGCCCATTCCTACTAGCGATAGAAAATTATTGTCGCTATTTCTAGGGATATTTTATTTATTTATTTATTTTTCACTTTTGTTTTTGCTTGAGACATGTTCAAGTACTCAATCTTGTCTACTTGGTTCATATATCTGAGGCATCTTGCACATGAGTGAATATAAATGTACCTGAAAGTACAATATCTGTACATATAAAAATAATTTCATTGTGGAATGATATACACACATTATTGTGTATGTATATTTGACGGGTGTGCATGTGGAAGAGGGGAAGAGCACATGCAGTATGTGAGATGCACGTCGGTCTTTGCAGGGTTGTTTTGGATAGTATATCCATGTCTAGGGATCTTTCCATGTTATTTGCTAAAAATTTCAATTATTTTCCCTATCTTGTATTTCACATTAATTACAATTAAAAACAACAAAATATTTTCGCTATTGCACATCTTCTAATTTTTTCTTAAATCAGAACTATAATTGTTGACACATAAAAATTCAGCCCAAGTCGAACAGTCCAAGGAGTAAAGCCCTATGGGAGAATCCCCAAAACAGACGGCCCAAAGAATGAAGTCCAATCAAACGAGTCAAGGTGAAGGCCCAAACAAGAGGCCCAAGAATGCGGTAATGCCATCGCCCAAGTTTGCAAGTCGCTCAGAATCTGAACGAACGAGTGTCATACGGTCGCCCAGAGCTGTTGTTCTACTCTCGCCCAAACTTTCAAGTCGCCCAAGGTGTCAATAAACATAACGCATCGTGATTATCAAGGAATGCAGTTATCAAGGCAATTGTTAAAGTAGCCTTATCACGTTCCACAACTCAAGGAAGTCAATCGAAAGCAGTTGGACGATGAAAGATAATGGCAGCAGTTAAAAGGCGGTTTCATGACAAAATGGCCACTACAAAGAAAGTGGGTAGTTATAGGACGATCAAGCAGTTTTCAGAGTAGCTAATCACAAAGAGATCGTCTATGAGGTATAAAAGGGAGAAAAGGCGTAGAAGCAAAGGACCGAATCCAAAATTCTCGAACAAGAGAATATGTAATTTTCATTTCTTTAGCTTTTAGACTTAAATACTTTCCTTTCTGTAACTCGTGTGCTTGCGC